AGTGCTGGAAGATAAGCCCCTCAGATTGGAAGGCATTCAAAATATGAATAAGGATGATCTGCTTTCTCGAAGTACAATTGACCCTTATGACACTAATGGAGTAACACGTTCAGACCTTTATTTGCTGATGGGGAGTAATTCAAAATAAGGAGAAACAGATGCCAACATCCATTAATAATCAGAATGTGTAATATACAAAGTATGAATCTTTGAAAATTGGAAGTTGTCAAAAAAGAAATGGAACACATAAAGATTGATATCCTAGACATTAGTCAATTGAGTGGACTGATATTAGCCATTTTGAATCTAACAATCATACAGTTGACTGTGCCAGGAATGAAAAATTGAAGAAGAATGCTGTCGGATTCATGATAAGAAAAACATTTCAAGATCTATCTGGAAGTAGAATGCTGTCTGTGATAGGATAACCTCCATATGCCTACAAAAAACACCAGTTAGTAACATTATTATTCAAATTTACATACCAATCATTATGGTCAGTGATGATGAAATGGAAGAGTTTTACCAGCTTCTTCAGTTTGAAGTTGATCAAACATGAAATCAAGATGTATTGATAATTATTGGTGATTGGAATGCAAAGATTGAAAACAAAAGAGGAACAATCAGTAGTTGGAAAATATGGCGTTGGTTATAGAAATGACGCTGGAGATAGCATGACAGAATTTTGCAAGACCAATTGTTTGTTCATTACAAATACCTTTTTTAAACAATATAAAAGACAAAACGCATGTTGACCTCATCAGATGACATACACAAAAATCAAAGTGACTGCATCTATGTGAAGATATTTTGGAAAATCTGTCATCAGTATAAATAAGACCAGGGGCAGACTGTTGAACTGACTATTATTAGTTGCTCATATGCAGATCCAGACTGAAGCAGAAGAATATTAAAACAAGTCAAGAGACCCATAATTTGACCTTGAAAATACCCACCATAATTTAGAGAATATCTCCAGAACAGGCTTGATGCAGTAGACAATAATGACTGGAGACCAGCAGAGTTGTGGGATGGCATTAAGAACATAATACAGGAGGAAAAGAAAAGGTCATTAAGAAGACAATAAACAAGGACAACCAAAATTGATGTCAGAAAAGACACTGAAATTTGCTCTCTAGCACAGAGATACTCAAGCAAATGGCAGAAAAGGAAGTAAAAGAAATGAAGAGAAAAATTTTAAAGGGCAGCTTGAGAAGACAAAGTCAAGTATTGTAATGAAATGTGCAAAGACTTGGAGTTAGAAAACCAATAGGGAAGAACATGCTCAGCATTTTTAAATTGAAGGGAAAAGATCAAGCCTTGATGTGAAATATTGAAGGATTCTATGCAGAAAGCATCAAAAGAAAATGATAGGAATACCCAGAGTCAGTGCACAAAAAACAAATTAATGATGTTCAACCATTTCAAGAGATGGCATATTATCAAGACCTCTGGCGTGGCACTGTAAGTTAATGAGCTGTACTGTCAGGTCAGTTTGAACTTCAAGGTCGATGGTTCAAGCTCACCAGCTGCTCCTTGGAAACCCTCTACAAGTTAACTATGGGTTGGAAATGACTCAATTGCACGTAACAGTGATACTGACGTAGAAGCTCAAGGTGATCTGAAGATACTGGCAAAGAACAAGTCTCCAGGAATTGCTTGAACACAAACTGAAATCTTTCAGTGAACTGATACAGCATTGGGGCAGTCACTCATCTATGCCAAGATTGGAAGAAAGTTACCTGGCCAAGTTACTGGAAGAGATCCATATTTGTACTCATACCAAAGAGAGGTAACCCAGTGGAATGTAGAAATCATTGGACAATATCATTAATATCAGATGTAAATAAAATTTTGCTAAAGATAATTTTTAATGGTTACAACAGTACATTGACAGAGAACTGACAGGGGTTCAAGCTAGATTCAGATGAGGACATGGAATGAAGTATATCATTATTGACAGCAGAAGAACCTTGGCTGAAAGCAGAGAATACCATAAAGATGTTTACCTGTGTATTATTGACTATGCAAAGGCTTTTGACTCTGTGAATCATGACAAGCTGTGGAAAATCAGTATTTCAGGACACTTATTTGTGCTCATGAGGAACCTGTACAAAGATCAAGAGGCAGTTGTTTGAACATAACAAGCAACACTGAATGTTTTAAAATTAGGAAAGGTGTTCACCAGGGTTATAATCCTATGGGTTAGTACGCTGGACTGCAAAGTCAGTTTTAACTGCAAAGTCGGCTGTTCAAGTTCAGCAACTGCTCCTTGGAAACCCTACACAGGGTCGCTATTGGTCAGAACTGACTCCATGGCAGTTAACAACAACATCATTTATCTTTTTGATGAGCAAATATTTCAAGAAGCTGGATTATATGAAGAATGTAGTATTAGGATTGGTGGAAGACTCAGAAGACACACCATGCTTTCTGAAAGAGAAGAAGACTTAAATTACTTACTGATGAAGACCAGACCACAGCATTCAGTATTGGTTGCACCGCAATGTAAAGAAAACAAAAATCCTCTTAACTGGACCAATAAATAACATTATGATAAAGGGAGAAAAATTGAAGTTACAAAAGACTTCATTTTGCTTGGATCCACTATAAACACTCATGGAAGCTGCAGTCAAGCAATCAATATATTACATTAGGCAAATGTGCTACACAAGACGTTTTTGAAGTATTCTGGAGCAAAGACGTTATTTTGGGAACTAAGGTGTGCCTGACCCAAACCGTGGTATTTTCAGTAGTTTTCTAAGCTTGTAAAAGTTGAACAATGAATAAGGAAGACTGAAGGAGAATCAATGCATTTGAGTTATGATGTTGGAGAAGATTAAAAGTACCCTAGATTTCCAGAAGACCTAACAAGTAAGTCTGTGTTTGAAAAAGTACAACCAGAAAGCTCCTTAGAAACTAGGATGACAAGACTTCATCTCTCATACTTTGGACATACTATTACAAGAGCATCATGCTAGGTCAAGTGGACAGTCAACGAAAGAGAGGGAGACCCCTGATGAAATGGATTGGCACAGTGGCAACAGCAATGAACTCAAGCTTAAGAACAAGTGTGAGGATGGCACAGGACCTGCAATGTTTCATTCTGTTGTGCATAAGGTTGCTATGTGTTGGAACCAACTCAACAACACCTAAAACCACCACCAACAACAACATATGTTAGAGGTCATATTTTGGCTTTCTTGGATCATTTTAATTTTCTTCAGTTTCAGATTGAACTTGCATATGAGCAACTGTTTATTCCACAGTGTGCCCCTTGTCTTGTTTTGGCTGATGATATTGAGCTTTTCTACGTTCTCTTTCCAGAGATGTAGTCAACTTGATTCCTGTGTATTCTGACTGGGGAAGTCCATGTTTAGAGTCATCTTTAATGTTATTTTCAAAAATTATTTTAAATAAATAATTGGTCAAGCTCAAATCTATCCTAGGATCTCCAACATCAATTCTATCACCAAGTCAATATTTTGCAACTACTGATTCTTTCTCTTTGTTTCCAACTTTTGGATTCCAATCACCAGTAACTATCAATGCATCTTGATTGCAAGTTTTGTCAACTTAAGAAGTTGGTAGAATTCTTCATTTTTGTCACTGGCTTTAGTGGTTTTGTATAAATTTGAATAACAGTGATACCATAAGTTTTTTCTAGTAGGTATATGAATATTATCTGATCATAGAAAGCATTGTACATTAATATAGATCTTGAAATTTTCGTTTTACCAATGAATAGGATGTCATTCTTCTTCAATTTGTCATCCTAGCAAAGTAAACCATATGATTTTCTGACTCAATATGGTCAATTTTTCTCATTAATGCCTTGGATACCAATTTTTGTACATTGCATTTTACTTTTGACAACTTCTAATTTTTCTAGATTCATACTTTGTACATTCCACATTGTGATTATTAGTGAATGTTTCCAGCTGTTTCTCCTCACGTTGATTTGTGCCCCATCTGTAAATGAAAGTTCCAAAAGCTTTACTCATTATGTCATCATGATGTACACTACTTTGAGGAAGCAACTATTCTCCTGTTGTATTTTGAGTGCCTTCCAACCAGAGAGATTTGTCTTCTGGCACTATAACTGACAATGTCCTGCTGCTATTCATACACTTGTCATAACTAAAGATTCTGAAATAGTCTGTTTCTCCTTCTTCTGCCTAGTTTAGAAGTTCTATTTGTTATTTTAAAATGTGACTCACACTTAACAATTGTTTTTGTTTTTATGTGCCGTGGAGTCAGTTCAGACTCATAGCAACCCTGTACAGGTTTTTCAAGGCTGTAAATCTTTACGGGAGCAGAAAGCCTCATCTTTCTCTCATGGAACAGCTGGTAGTTTCGAACTGCTAACCTTGTGGTTCGCAGCCTGATTCGTAACCACTATACTACCAGAGCTCCTTTAACAATAGAGTTGAAAAATACCAAAGAGAAGCATAAGGTCCAACTCATAGCAACTCTGTGTAGTGTTTCTGTGGAGTGGCTGGTATGTTTGAACCATCAACCTTGAGGTTAGCTGTTGTTTAGTGTTATCGAGTCAATTCCGACCCATAGCAACCCTGTATAGGGTTTCCAAGGAGCAGCTGGTGAGCTTAAACCATCAACCTTGAAGTTCAAATGACTTTGCAATGTGATGCCATAGCCCAAAGTGCCATACCAGAAAACAGCATACTATGACTCCTGCCTCACAATAAGGAATAATAAAGAAACACATATTTGGAAACAGAAATGTTTGTTGTCTTTCTGTGTGTCTACCTAACTACCTACCTGCTTGACAAAAGATTACTTATTGCTTTATCTTTTGCTGTAAATCAAAATGTTTTAAAACAAGGAATAGTTTTATGGAAGAGCTGGAAATGATAAATGTAAATAAAACCAGTGTAACATTTTCAAGTGAAGTTTTAGAAAATAATGGATAACTTTCCTTTAAAATTTCCTAATGCAAAAGTTTCACACCTTGTGTTATGTTAATTTTATGTTTACAGGAAGTTCCATGGAAAAGATGCTTAATTTGTGTTTAATCCCTGTATCATGTAAGCTTGTTGATGAATTTGTTGGAGATATTATGAAAGATTTGCCTTTTCTGAAGAGGTAAAACATGTACATGTGCTTCAACAAATGTTTATGAAATGAATTACTGATTAGAGATTCTTTCAAATGAAATATATTTAATATACTGTGTTAGATATAATATAGATTTATAAATAATAATGAATTTCATATCAAATCAATTAGCAATGCTCTTTGAACATTACTAGGCCAAAAGATTCGAGGCTTCAAAAAGCAGTGGAAAAATTCAACTTATCTTTAAATTCCATTTTTCCACGAACTTTTTGAAACTCCCTCATATATTGTTTCAATCTAGAGTCAAACCACTCTAGCTGTAGGTTTTATTTGAGTATCTGTTTCTGTTGATGGGACTGTTAGAGAAATGGAGTGCATTTTTATTCTTCAAACAAGCTACTCTTTGGATTCTATCATTCATATCTTATCATAGAAACAGGAAACGAGCTTACTGCTTTATAAAATAGTATATATTTATATATCTATATCTATATAGATATAGGCTATATCTAAATTGTAGCCTATATTTTGAGGCATGCAATTTAAAATATGTATGTATTTCTTCATAAAAAATTTTTCTAATAGCGATGATCCTATTGTTACTTCACTGATTAAACAAAAGGAATTTGATGAACTTGTGCATTGGCATTCCCACAAACCACTCAGAGATGACTACGACAATGCAAGGTGTTCCTCTCATGGTAAGCTCTGTGACTCTGACTAAATTAGTTTAAATAAATTTCACTCTGATTTTTTTGTATAGTAGAAAGCTATATTATGAGTGTCAAAATTAATATTTTTGAATAAATATACAAAGGGGGCTTTAAAAATGCATGGAGAACTTCCATTATCTTTTAATTCCATTTTTTCATGGGGCTCTTTGAAGCCTCCTTATAGATTTCAAATTATATAGATATTCATCAAGGATGATAATAATAAAATTGTCCACTCTATTTGCTATCTTGCATATGTTGGTAGTTATGACCATGTTTTAGGAAGAAGTACACAAATATGTCATTTGTCTTCAAACATATCAAAGTATTTAAAAAATATTTTTATTGTGAATTGCGAAAAGGTTTACAGACAAGATCATTAGTTTTACATTTAACAAATTATAAATGTTGTTTAATCTCAATGATTGAAATTCCCTTCATGAAACAACAGTTATCTCACTTCCTCCCTTCCACCCACTGGCCCATCCCTTTTCAACTTTGTCCTTAGGAAAATGTTGTCCTTTTGCTTTTGAATGATTGAGTATTCCCTGGTGAGCATACCTTACTAGTGTTTTTGTTCTCCTGTCCTATATACCTATCTACTGGTTCATTGAAATTTGGGTCATAAAGGTGAATTGCTTTCCTGACCTGAAGGATGGTTGAGGGCGGTAGTCTCAGGATCTTCTCGTGTCTTTCTGATCAGTAAACTTGGTCTTTTTTTTTTTAATAATTTTGAGTTTTGAGTTTTGTTCCACATTTTCGCCCACTCTATTTGGACCCTCGAATATAAGCCCTTTCAGAGTAATTGTTATTGGTAACTGGACACCATATAGTTCTTTAAGTCTCAGACTTGAAAAAAGTAGTCCACATGTTCAGTTAGTTTACTGGATTAATTGATTCCTAGCCTCTTTAATTCTTATCACTCTTCTTTCATTATACCAGTGCCAAGTTATTTTGACCACTGTGACTGTATAGTAAATTTTGAGACCAGGGAGTGAGAGGCCTCCAACTTTGTTTTCTTCTTAAGCAGTGCTTTGCTTATCCGAGGTTTCTTTCCTTTCTATATGAAGTACATGATCATATTTTACGATTCTTAAAGCAGTTTTAAGGAAAGATGTTGTGTTGGGTAAGAAATCTATGTATTCTTTATCTCAAATATATTAGCAGAAGCATAGTCCTTTGAGCAATTACAGCTGTTCTCACATAATTCAGTTAATTTCTTATAACATGTGTAAATATTTTATCTTCCTTCATTTGTAGGGGAGTTCATACTGCAAAACTGAGTCCCTGTCACCCTTAAGAGTAGACTAACAGATTGGAATTTGGATCTTGCCTCACTGGTTCATTCCTTGTTTAGATTTTTATCTTTGTCCACCTTCATGTTCATATACATCTGCTTATATAAATAGCTTCCAAAACACTGCAAGGTGTGACAGGATACTTTAGATTGCCATTAACAACCTTCAGTGTGGTTTGATTTGATATATATAATACATGGTTGGTGGTTATGTGCTGTGGAGTTGATTCTGACTCATAGCAACCCTGTATAAGGCTTCCAAGAATATAATCTTTATTGGAAGAGAAAACCTCATCTTTCTCCCATTGAGCAGCTAGTATATTTGAGCAGCTTACCTTGTGGTTAGCAGCCCATCTTGTAACGCACAATGCTGACAAAACACCTTATTACCTCTACTATTGTTAGGAGCCATTGAGTTGGCACTGACTCATAGTGAACCTATGCACAACAGAGCAAAACACTGCCTGGTCCTGGGCCCACCTCACAATCATTGCTACGCCTGAGCCCATTGATGCTGCCACTGTGCCTTCCTCTTTGTCTTTGACCCTCCACTTTATCAAATATGATACCCTCCAGTGACTGGTCCCTCCTGACAATATGTTTAAAGATGAGAGACAAAACCTGGCCATACTGGCTTCCAAGTAGCACGCTGACTCCTTCCAACACAGCTCTATTTGTTTTGTTTGGCAGTCCATGGTACTTTCAGTATTCTCCAATAACAACATAAGTCAAACATATCATTTTTTCTTCAGTCTTCTTTATTCACTCTCCAGCTTTTGCATACATATGAAGTTTCTGAAAATATCATGGCTTGGATCAGGAGCACCGTAGTCCTGAAACTGACATCTTTACTCTTAAACACTTTAAAGAGGTCTTGTGTAGCAGATTTGCCTAATGCAATACATCACTTTATTTCTTGACTGCTACTTCCCTGAGTGTTGATGGTTGATCCAACTAAAATGAAGTCTCTAACAACTTCAAACATTTCTCCATTTATATGGATGTTGTTATTGCTCCAGTGGTGAGGACTTTTGTTTTTGCACTGAGATGCAACTGAAACCAAAGGCTGTGGTCTTTGATCTTCATAGGTAAGTAATTTTTTTTTTTCAAGTTAGATTTTGTTTTTTAGTTTTTATTGTGCATTGAGTGATAATTTACATGGCAGAACACCAGTTTTACATTCATCCTGTCATTTCATTACAATGACTATAATCCCCTCCATGCATAATGATTCAACATCATTTACTTCCATCCATTCTCTTTGTTGTTTTTGTTTTGTTTTTTTTTTTGTATGTACACCGAAGCACTCGGGAATATATAACCATTCAAATAATCAGAGGACAAACTACAAGCCTGTCCACTGGCTGACAGCACATAGCCCCTCTCCCTCCTTGAGTCTAGAGTCCCCAGTGGCTCCATCTCTCCAAATCATCATCTTTGCCTTCATCTCTGGTGTCACTGCTTCTTTGGATAGGGTCCTGCACTCCTCTCTTCTCCCTTGATGGTCCCAGGGTCTTCCACTCCTGGACTGCAAGATCAACCACTCCCCTCCTTTTGTTACAAAACATCTACCTTTACATTTGCAACACTCACAATCAGTCCTGATAGCAATTATTCACTATTGAACCACAAGAGTCTTATCCCCATCTGCTTTCATCAGTCCCATCTAGACAGGTTGGAAACCACTTAGTAGAGATTGTACCTTCCCCGCAGCCACTAAAACTAAGCTCCCTCTTGAAAACTTGTAAGCCAGTCACTTCATGCCTTAGTATTTTAAGTGTTCTTCACTTTCAACAAGTAAGGTTGTATCATATGCATATCGCAGGTTGTTAATGAGTCTTCCTTTAATCCTGATGCCATGCTTTTCTTCATATAGTTCAACTTCTTTGGTTATTTGCTCAGCATACAGGTTAAATAGGAAATTTTAAGTGACAGTTTCCACTTAAAAACAAAGGGCCACCACTTGTTTGTTAGTTTGTCTTACTGTGGGTGCTTGTGAGTTGCTGTGATTCTGAAAGCTATGCTACTGATATTTTAAATACTAGAAGGGTCACCCATGGTGGACAAGTTTCAGATGAGCTTCAAGGCAAAGACAGACTAGGAAGAAAGAGTGACAAACTACTTCTGAATAGTGACTGAAAACCTTATGAATAGCAGAGAAACACTGTCAGATATAGTGCCAGAAAGTGAGCCCTTCAAGTTGGAAGGCATTCAAAATGCGACTGGGGAAGAGCTGCTACCTCAAAGTAGAGTTGACAGTGATAATGTGAATGGAGTAAAGTTCATGGGAGTAAAGCCCACAGGACCTTCATTTGCTGATGGAGCACAACTCAAAATAAAGAGAAACAGCTGTAAACATCCATTGAAAATCAGAACATGGAATGTACGAAGTATGAATCTGGGAAAATTGGAAGTTGTCAATAATGAAATGGAACACATAAACATCAATACCTTAGGCATTAGTGAGCTGAAATGGACTGGTATTGGCCATTTTGAATCTGACAAACACATGGTTTACTATGCCAGGAATGACAAATTGAAATGGAATGTTGTTGCATTCATCGTCTAAAAGAACATATCCAGATCAGTCATGACATACAGTGCTGTCTTTGATAGTATAATATCCATGCTCCTAGACAGAGGCCAGTTAAAGATTATTCAAATTTACACACCAAACATTAAAGCCAGTGAGGATGAAATAGAAGAATTCTACCAACTTCTTTAATATGAAATTGATCAAACATGCAATCAATATGTATTGATCATTACGGGTGATTGTAATACAAAGGTTGAGGCAAAGAGGAAGGATCAGTAATTGGAAAATATGGCCTTGGTTATAGAAATGATGCTGGAGATCGCATGACAGAATTCTGCAAACTAATGATTTGTTCATTTCAAATACCTTCTTTAAACAGCATAACAGATGACTATACACTTGGACTTCACCAGGTGGCATACATAGAAATGAAATTGACTACATCTACGGAAAGAGACAATAGAAAAGCTCCATATCTTCAATGAAAACAAGGCAAGGGACAGACTGTGGAACATACTTATATGCAAATTCAAACTGAAGCTGAAGAAAATGAAAACAAGTCCACGAGAGCCAAAATATGACCTTGAATATATCCCACCTGAATTTATAGATCATCTGAAGAACAGATTTAAGACATTGAACACTAAAGACTGAAGACCAAAAGAGTTGCGTGATGACATCAAGAACATCATACATGAAGAAAGCAAAAAGTCATTAAGACAAGAAAGAAGGAAAAGGTCAAAATGAATGTCAGAAGCAACACTCAAACTTGCTCTCCAGTGTAGAGATGCTAAAGCAAATGGAAGAAATGAGGAGGCCTAAGAGCTGAACAGAAAATTTCAAAGACCAGCTCGAGAAGATAAAGCCAAATATTACAACAAAATGTGCAAAGATCTAGAATCAGAAAACCAAAAAGGAAGAACACGCTCAGCATTTCTCAGGTTGGGGGAACTGAAGAAAAAAATTTAAGCCTCGACTTTCATTATTGAAAGATTCTCTGGTCAAATTATTGTATGATGCAGAAAGCAATAAGAGAAGATGGAAAGAATACACAAAGTCACTGTACAAAAGGAAATGGTTAATGTTCAACTGTTTCAAGAGGTAGCATATGATCAAGAGCCAATGATATTGAAGGAGGAAGTCCAAGGTGCACTGAAGTAATTGGCAAAGAACAAGGCATCAGGAATTGGTGGAATAAAAGTTGAAATCTTTCAAAAAAGTGAGGCAGCACAGGAGGCACCCAGTCATCTATGCCAAGAAATTTAGATGACAACTATCTGGCCAACTGATTGGAAGAGATCCGTACTTGTGCCCGTTCCTAAGAGAGGTGGCCCAACAGAATGCAGAAATCATCGGATAATGTCTTTGATGTGCCATGCAAGTAAAGTTTTGCTAAAGGTAATACAGAAACGGCTTCAATCATACATTGACAGAGAACTTCCAGAGGCTCATGCTGGATTCTTACGAGGCCGTGTAATGAGGGATATCATTGCTGATGTCTGATGGATCTTGTTTGACAGCAGAGAATATCAGAAAGGTGTTTACCTGTGCTTTATTGACAACACAAAGACTTTCGGTTGTGTGAATCATGACAGGCTACGGACAACATTGCAAAGTATGAGTATTCCGTAACACTTAATTGTGCTCATGAGGAATCTATACCTGGACCAAGAAGCAGTTGTTTGAACAGAACATGGGAACACTGAATTTTTTTAAATTAAGAAAGGTGTGTGACTGGTTGTATTCTTTCGCCATAACTATTCAACCTGTATTCTGAGCAAATAATCAGAGAAGCTGGTTTATATGAAGAAAAATGTGGCATCAGGATGTGATATGCAGATGACACAACCTTGCTTGCTGAAAGTGAAGAGGACTTAAAACATTTACTGATGAAGCTCAAAGAGCACAGCCTTCCATGTGGATTACAACTCAATGTAAAGAAAACAAAAATCCTCACCACTGGACCAGTAAACAACATTCTTATCAGTGGAGAAAAGATTGAAGTTGTCAAGGACTTCATTCTTCTTGGATCAACTATCAACAGTTATGGAAGCAGCAGTCAAGAAATCAAACAACGTATGTATTGCATTAGGCAAATCTGCTGCACAAGACCTTTTAAAGTGTAGAAGAGCAAAGATGTTAGCTTGTGGACTAAGGTGTGCCTGACCCAAGCCATAGTATTTTCAATAACCTCATATGCATGTGAATGTTCAACAGTGAATAAGGAAGACCATCGAAGAATTGATGCCTTCGAATTATGGTGTCGGAGAGAATATTGAAAGCCAGAGTGCTCCTTAGAGGCCACGATGGCCAAACTTCGTCTCTCATACTTTGGAGATATTATCAGGAGGGACCAGTCTCTGGAGAAGGTTATCATGTTTAGTAAGATGGAGGGTCAGAGGAAAGTGGAAGACCCCAATGAGATGGATTGGCCAAGTGTCAGCATCGATAGACTCAAGTGTGGTAACAGTAGTGAGGTTGGCCCAGGATCAGGCAGTGTTTCGTTCTATTATGCATAAGGTCGCTATGAGTTGGTATTAACTTTATGGCACCTAACAACAACAGCAGGTTGAATAAGTATGATGAAAGAATACAACACTGTCACACACCTTTCCTAATTTTAAACCATTAGGTGTTCCCTTGTTCTGTTCAAACAACTGCCTCTTTGTCTATGTACAGGTTCCTCATGAACGGTTCTGGAGTACTCATACTTCACACTGTTGTTCATAGCTTGTCATGGTCCACACAATTGAAAGCATTTACTTAGTTAATAAAGACAGGAAACATCTTTCTTGTATTCTCTGCTTTCATCCCAGATCCATCTGATGCCAGCATTGATGTCTCTTATTCTACATCTTCTTCTGAAACCAGCTAGAACCTCTGGAAGTTCTGTCAATATATGATGGCAGCTCTTTTTGATTACCTTTAATAAAACTTTACTTGCTTTGTGATAGCAATAATATTAAATGATGCTTTTTGCATCCCCATAGCAGAGACAATTAGACTGATTATTGTTTAAAACTACAAAGAAATTAATTGTATGCTTGAAAAGATATTAAGTTAGAACATCATTGAAAAAGATACATTAAAGTTACATTTTAAATATTTTTTTTCAGAAAAATCTAGAGATCCTTATTATCTTAAATCCCTACAAAAGTTTCATGTTTTTCAACGATTTTATGGGAATTCATTAGAATCGATACCTTCAAAAGTCATTGTAACTCAAGACATCAAGCCAAAGAAGGATTTCAGTGTGGCCAAAAGCAATATGGCAAAGGTAGATTCTACAAATCCTATCAAATGTTTTTTACATTACTTTTTTTTTTCCTTGTAATTATATTTATATTTGTTTACCTCTTCATGGTTTCTTACACCCTGTACTTTTTCTTTTCATAAATGATTTCACACTATTTTGCTTACTTTCTAAGAAAGCCTGTCCTGCATATAAAATATTATATAGTCTCACATGGAGTAGCTATGAGTAAAAAACAACTCCACAGAACCAAACCAGAAAAACTGCATATAAATAGAATACGTATTTATTTGATAAACAACATAAAGTGTTATATTATTATAGGCTCAGATTTAAAACTTTTTAAATTAAATTTGCAATGTTGTTGCTTATTAGTTAATGGTAGTGAAAATCTTTTTTATATGTTATTGTTGTTGGTAAGAATCACTGAGTTGGTTCTAACTCATAATGACCCTGTATAGGGTTTCCAAGAATCAACTTCTGGGTTTGAATTGCTAACAGTGCCACATCACATTTTTTATATATGAAGGTAAAAATAAGTATATTTGCTTGCTTTTTTTCTGGCATGAATATAACGATTGCCTACAACTTTTCACTAGCACTCATCTGTCAGTTTGTTATACTGTAGTTGTTTGCATGGTCCTATGATGCTGGGAGCTATGCTTCTGATATTTTAAATACCAAAAGGGCATACCCATGCTGGACAAGTTTCATCTGAGTTTCCAGAAGAAGACGCTAAGAAGAAAGAGAGGTGAGCTTTTCACTGAAAACCTTATGAATAGCAGTGGAACACTGTTGGTACCAGAATATCGAATATTTAAACATGAATTGTATCATATATATTCCTGCAAGATGAGTTCCTCAGGAAAGGGATGTTCCTCAAAGTAGAATTTAGTGTGATGACAAAGTTTTCGGACCTTCATTGGCTAATGCAACACAACTCCAAATGAAGAGAAACAACTGTAAACATGCATTGTAAACAACCATTAAAAATCAGAACATGGAATGTACAAAGTATGAATCTGGGAAAATTGGAAGTTGTCAAAAATGATATGAAATGCATAAAGATCAATATTCTAGCCATTAGTGAGCTGAAAATGATTGGTATTGGTCATTTAAAATCTTACAATCATATGGTTTACTATTAAGGGAATGACAAAAGAGGAACCATATCACATTCATCATCAAAAAGAACATATCAAAATCTGTCTTGAATTGTAATGCTGAATGTGATAGTATAATATCCACACACCTACAAGAAATATCAGTTAATACTACATTATTCAAATTTATGTACCAACCACTGAAGCCAGTAATGATGAAATGGAGATATCTACTAACTTCTTCAGTCTGAAATTGATCAAACATGCAAAAAGTATGTAGTTTTAATTACTAGTGATTGGAATGCAAAGGTCAGTGACAAAGAGGAAGGATTCATACTTGGAAAATACTGCATTGGTGATAGAAATGATGGTAGATATCGCATGATAGAATTTTGCAAGATCAATGACTTCTTCATTGCAAATACCTTTTAGAAACACCGTAAAAGACTATTATATAAGTGGACCTCACCAAACGACATACACTCAAATCAAATTGGCTACATCTATGGGAAGAGACAGTGGAAAAGCCAAAATTAGGCAGGGACAGACTGTGGAACAGAGCATCAATTGCTCATATGCAAGTTCAGGCTGAAACTGAAAGTTAAAATGAGTCCACTAAACCCCAAATTTAACCTTGAACGTATCCCACCTGAATTTAGAGATCATTTCCAGAACAGATTTGATGCATGAGACCTTAATTCCTGAAGACCATAAGAGTTGTTGATGACCTCAAGAACATCACAGAGGAAGAAAACAAAAGGTGATTAAGAAGACAAGAAAGAAGGAAATGACTAAAATGGGTGTCAGAAGAGTTTCTGAAACCTGCTCTCCAGCATAGAGTTTTTAAAGCGAATAGGAGAAATGAGGAATTAAAAAAGCAGAACAGAAAAATTTAAAGGAAAGCTTGAGAAGACAAAATCAAATATTATAATGAAATGTACAAAAACCTGGAGGTATAAAACCAAAAGGGAAGAATACACTCAACATTTCTCAAGCTAAAGCAATTGAAGAAGATACCAAGCCTCATCTTTCAACACTGAAGAATTCTATGTGCAAAATGCTGAATGATGCAGATAATATAAAAAAGAGATGGAAAGAATACACAGAATCACTGTAACAAAAGGAAGTGGATGATGTTCAACCATTTCAAATGATAGTATATAATCAAGAGCCAATGGTACTGACGGAGGAAATCCAAGGTGCAAGTCATTTTTGACAAAGAATAAAGTGTCCGGAAGTATTAGAATGCAAAATGAAATATTTCAACAAATTGATGCAGTGCTTTTGGCACTCACTCATCTGTGCCAAAAATCTTGGAATACAGTTACCTGGTAAATTGATTGGAAGAGATCAATATTTGTGCCACTTCCAAGGAAAAGACCCAATGGAATACAGAAATCATTGGAAGATATCAATATTTCATGCAAGTAAAATTTTGCTGAAGATAATTCAAAATCAACTGCAACAAATCTTGACAGGAAACTGCCAGAGATTCAAGTTGGATTCAGATAAGGATGTGAATTGAGGGATACCATTGTTGATGTCAAGTGGATCTTGGTTGAAAGTAAAGAAAACTAGAAAGATGTTTAATTGTGCTGTATTGAGAATGCAAAAGCTTTCAACTGAGTGTATTATGATAAGTTATGGACAACATTCATTAGAATGAGTACTCAAGAACACGTAATTGTGCATAAATCTAGAGGTAGTCTTTTGAGTGGAATGAGGTGATACTGAAAGACTTAAAATCAGGAAAGGTGTGCACCGTAGTTATATTCTTTTACATGCTTTTTATATGTATTCTTTTATATGCTTCATATAAAAAATTATATGAAGGAGAACGTGGCATCAAAATTGGAGGAAAACTCTTTAACCTGCAACTTGTAGATGATACAACCTTGCTTGCTGAAAGCAAAGAGGACTTAAATTACTACTGAATATCAAAGACCACAGTCTTTGGTATAGGTTGCATGTCAATGTAAAGAAAATAATAATCCTCACCACTGGACCAATAAATAACATCATGATAAATGGAGAAAAGATTTAAGTCGTCAAAGACTTCATTTTGCTTGGTTCGACTGTCAACACCTAAGGAAGCAGCAATCAAAAAAAAATCAAATAACATATTGCATTTGGAAAATCTGTTGCACAAGACCTCTTTAAAGTATTCAGGATAACAGATGTCAGTTTTAGGAGTAAGGTGTTCCTGGCCATTGTATTTTCAACAGCAGAAGAATTGATGCAGTGTTGGAGAAGAATATTGAAACTACCATGGACTTCCAGAAGAATAAACAAATCTGTTTTTTAAGAAGTTCAGCGGGAATGCTCCTTAGAACCCAGGAAGCAAGATTTCATCCCTCATACTTCTGGCATGTTATCAGGAGTAACCAGTCCATGGAGAATTACATCATGCTTAGTAACGTGGATGATCAATGAAAAAGATAAAGACCTCCAATGAGATGAATTGGCAAAGTGGCTGCAGCAATATGCTCAAGATTAATGATTGTGAGGATGGCACAGCAACAAGAAGTGTTTTGTTCTAGTGTATTAAATTTGCTATGAGTCAGAATTGACTTGATGGTACGTAACAATAACAAACCAAAAAGGAAGAACACAGTCAGCATTTCTCAAGCTGGGGGAACTGAAGAAAAAATTCAAGCCTTGATTTTCGTTATTGAAAGATTCTCTGGCAAATTATTGAATGATGCAGAATGCATCAAGGAAAGATGGAAGGAGTACACAAAGTCATTATACCAAAAGGAAATGGTTAATGCTCAACCATTTCAAGAGGTTCCATATGATCAAGAGCCAATGATACTCAGAGAGGAAGTCCAAAGTGCATTGAAGGAATTGGCAAAGAAAAAGGCACCAGGAATTGATGGAATAAAAATTGAAATCTTTCAAGAAAGTGAGGAGGTACAAGAGGCACTCACTCATCTCTGCCAAGAAATTTGGAAGACAACTATCTGGCCGACTGATTGGAAGAGATCCACATTTGTGCCCATTCCAAAGAGAGGTGACCCAACGGAAAGCGGAAATCATCAGACAATCTCTTTGATATCTCAAGCAAATAAAGTTTTGCTCAAGGTAATACAGAAATGGCTACAATCATACATTGACAGAGAACTTCCAGAGGTTCAAGCTGGATTCAGAAGAGGCCCTGGAATGAGGGATTTAATTGCTCATGACCGATGGATATTGGCTGAAAGCAGAGATATCAAAAAGATGTTTACCTGTGCTTTATTGACTA